AATTTAGTGGGCTAACAGGCTATACTGGAGCTTCCTTTTCTTGTAAGCTGAAGAAGGCTTCTCACCATTAAGCCTGTTTTCTTGACACTCTTCCCCTGCTTTCAGGTGCTTCCTTTGACAAGAGTTCAGCCACTTGGAGTGCCTTGTCCAGAGTTGCAGGTCTCTGCAACCGTGCCGTGTTTCAAGCCAACCAGGACAATGTGCCTATTCTTAAGGTGAGTTCTTGATAGAAGCACTTGCCGTATTCCTTCTCTCTACTCCACATAATAGTGAGGATAAACACCATGTGTCAGGAGCAACTGTGGAGTGGACAGGCATATGCTGTTGATTTTTCATGCAGTCTAGCACTTTTAATGGCCCACTTGGTGTGGGCAGAGTAGATGGATCTGGGAGGGCATTTCCCACAGCAAGCTCCCTGCTGTCTGCTACTGCCTGCAGTCTGTTTGGCAAGTAGGATATTTGATAGATCTAGGTAGTGGGATTAAAGCTTTCCTAGGCAGTTTCCAGTGCCTGCGCGTTCCAAGAATTAACCTTTCGGTGTTTGTATGTTTAAAAGCAGCAACACGCAGTTTTGGGGGCTGGGAGAATTGCATACCAGAGGCGGGGGAGCAGCAAGTTGTGGGATTGTTTGTCTTTAGCCATTCTATTCTCACTGGCAAATCTTAGCTTTGTAAGCTTTTTCTGGTTCAGCACTAGTGCAAATTCTGTAGCATCAGTCCAGGTTCCAGCACCTGAACTGTGACCTAGCCAGGGCTGAAGCTAAAGTATAAAGAAAAAAAAAATCATCTGCTCAGCAGAGGGCACAGAAGGATGAGGAACAATGGATTTAAATTGCATCAGAAGAAACTTGGGCAGGACATTAAGAACATTCAGATTTCCAAGGTTGGGAACTCTCCCCCACAGTCTCTGCTAGTGTTAACCTTGCTTTGGAAAAAGCAGGTTAGAAGTTTGCTGCCAGGGGCTTTCTAAGTTTATTTTGTCTTGAGGTGGAAGAGTACATAAAGATGTCTCTTGCCATGAAGAACAGTAGGTGGTTAAGAGATCCCCTCTCCAGTTCTCTCAAAGTACCCTTTTAGCCTCATTTTCTGACTGTACCTAGTTATATAGCTTTTTCTGCCCTTTAATAAGGGGCTTGATTCTGGCATTGGAAAACCACACTTCTTTTAAACTGGAAGGCCTGGCATTATGAAAATGCAGTATTTGTTGTCAGTGCTAGATAATAGAATTATTTATCCCTTGCTGATCTCTTTGCTACTCTTCTGCCTTGTTATTGTTGAAGCTGGAATTGGGCAGGTATGGATATATATTTATATACTTTTTCAAAATGTCTGATCTTCTGTGTTGAGTCCACTGCTATGTGCTCTAGTTCATTCTTATTATTATCCCCCAGAGGGCCGTGGCAGGAGATGCTTCTGAGTCAGCACTTCTAAAATGCATTGAACTGTGCTGTGGTTCTGTCAAAGAGATGAGAGAAAGGTACCCCAAGGTGGTGGAAATACCATTTAACTCCACCAACAAGTACCAGGTAAGTGAGAGCCGTCTTGAAGGAGAGCCATCACTTGAAGCATTTATGTGAATTCACATGCAGCGTTGCCAAAACTTGTTTTGGCCCCAAAACCTTGTCTAGCCAGTGCTACCTGTAAAGTACCCAAGGCTATGAATTTAAGTAACAAGTCATGCTCATTTACATTGTATAAGTGCTTTCAGAGCTCTCTTGATACTGAAGTATGAGAATTATCAGCTGCAGGAGGAGGAATGGTCATGTTTTCTGCCTGTACAGTCAGGCTGCAGAGAGAACAGAAGAGCTCAAATCTGGCAATCTGTTTGCAGAAGAGTGATCTTAAAGGCAGAACATGGCTAAAAGAAAGCCCCAGCCACACCTGAGGTTATAATATTGCGTTAAAGAATATTCGGCAACTCCCCTGTTTGCAGGAGTTTTCTTAGTGCTGGTGAATGTGAAAACCAGAGCAGAATGCTGCAAACTGTTCTAAGCTACTGTTGTCACAAACACTCATTGGTGGTGTTTATTTATATACTTTGGGTGTTTATTCATGTACTTTGCTGTACGTGTCTAGAAAACTGTTGAATTTCTTCTACCCTAGCTGTCTATCCACAAGAATGCAAATCCATCAGAATCCCGTTACTTGCTGGTGATGAAAGGAGCCCCAGAGAGGATCTTGGATCGCTGCAGCTCCATTCTCATTCATGGCAAAGAGCAACCACTGGATGAGGAGACAAAAGATGCTTTTCAGAACGCCTACCTTGAGTTGGGAGGCCTTGGAGAGAGAGTATTAGGTGAGGAAAAGCAGCCTTAGTAAATCACAAAAGATCCGTCCCTCATACTTCTGTGCAGAGTCGTGCAGATTAAATGTAAGGTTGTGACCTGTTCCCACAGTGTAACCATAGCGCAGAGTCAAGGTCATTTCAACAATTTGTATAGGAACAGTCCTGCCTTCAGCTTTTAATCTAAAAGGCAGCCTGCTGCCTTTCTTGTCCAGCAACTGGGTTGCCTTTAGTTTCCATAGGCTCACATCATATTAAACTGGCCCCACTGCACGTGAACCAAGTTGTGGCTGGGTACCTAGCAACAGCTATTAGTTATCAGAACGGGCATGAGTGTGACTTCTGTCTAATAGCCGTGCCTCAACTCCTGAACACTGAGGCTGCCCTGTTATTCTTGTGTAGCTGCTTGCAGAAGCAGGCAGTGTTCAGTGCTCTCCATCTCTGCCTCCCAGTATGTTGGAATAGGATAAAAATGTCTTCAAATGTGTTGCAGGCTTCTGTCACTTGCTTCTACCTGATGATCAGTTTCCTGAAGGCTTCCAATTTGATGCAGATGAAGTAAACTTTCCTGTAGAGAAACTTTGCTTTGTTGGGCTGATGTCTATGATAGACCCTCCTCGTGCCGCTGTGCCAGATGCTGTTGGCAAATGCAGAAGTGCTGGAATCAAGGTATCTTCTTTTTGGACTGAAAATAGCCATGTTTTTATATCTGTGGGTATTACGGGCTTCACATTTCCTGGGCAATGCTGAAACATGAGCGAAGGGAAGTATTGATCTGATGGCTTTTCTAAAAATCTATTTTTTTCAAGGTTTAACAAATGCTTTGGGCTTAATGTCCCTGAGTTAAATTCCAACGATGGTATTAACATGCTGAAAAATGAGTCAGATGACAAACTTAGTGTCCTAACAGGACACTGATAATTTGGTTTTGTCCCACAGCATCTGATTTGGCTCAGGTGTTCCCTACTACTGACTGAGCAGGGATGAGCAAAGCACAAACTGGAAGAGGAACTGGAAATCTGTTAGCTTAAGACTGACAAATTCTGTCTTCCACTCACCTTACACCTTTGCAAACTGGGAGCGGGTTATATTGTCTGTACCTCAGGCTAGCTGTTTGTTAGGACCTTTTGGTACAGCAAAAACCACATGGCCTTCAGTGTGTAGGGACCTAATCTCTGGAGCAGTGCTGCTCGGTGGTAAAGGCAAGGCTTTCACAGCAGCCTCATGTTTGCATTTCAGGTTATCATGGTAACTGGAGACCATCCGATCACGGCCAAAGCCATTGCCAAGGGTGTCGGCATCATCTCCGAAGGCAATGAGACCGTAGAAGATATTGCTGCTCGGCTCAACATTCCTGTGAGCCAGGTCAACCCAAGGTACTGACCTATGGGGAAGGGGGGCACGGTCGCTAGAGTGATGCAGAAGGCAGTTTTGCAAGACAATAAGAAGCAAGCGCTCAATCTCTCAGACATCTCTCACTGGACATGAAAAGCTAAACATCTGCCTAGCTCAGCATGTGGTGGCTCTTCTTACATGTATCATGTTCTATGTGAAGAGGGCACCAAGCTGTCTTGAACCTGTTTGTAGATACCAATCTCTTGCGCAGGGGGAATAGTTGGGAATAAGGCCTACGCAGAAAACTTGAGCAGTTTCTTTGCTTTTCCTGTTCCACAGCTCTCACATTAGGGCAGGGAAACAACCCCCCCTTCCGCAAGCTGAGCGTTTTCCCCACTAGCTTATATCACTAGTAAGCTCTATGTGTTGGCCCAATGTAGAGGGCAGGAAAGAGTTGCTTAAAAAAAAAAAGGCATGGGGAAGGGAGATGGCTGCCTGGGGACAGTTGAAGCAGTGCTGTTCCAGAGTCTGAAACCACAAACTCTTGTGAATTTGGGTCTTTAAATAGAGGCTAAGTCTAGCTTGGCCCCCAAACATATATTTAGTCAAGCTTATTTACTAAGAACTGCTTATAGGTGCATGGGAAAATTCTTACACAAAGAAAATGACTAGTTTGTTGGTCACAATGCAAACCGAATGGGCCAAAAAGGGGTCAACTCAGGTTAACTGTTTTAGGCTGTTGAGTAAAAGGAGCCAAAATACTGCTTGTAGACTTGGTCGCTCAAAGCAGAGCTCTGTACTGTCAAACTCTGTTCTGGGTCTGTTTGCAGGTGGTCAGGTAAAGCAGGTCCTAGGGCTGGATAGAAGAATTGAGCCTGTTTGGTCACTGCAAGCAGAATCAAGGTGTTTGACGTGAAGATGGGATTCCTTTTGCTCTTAGGGGTTAATGTGTGCCTGATAGCCTTGTATATAGCTGAGACATCCTAAGAAAATGTGGTTTGGCATAAGCGGGCTGTTTGCAGAATGGTTGGGCTGTCTGCGTTGCTTAGCTTGACCCAGCCTCTGTTTGGGCTGGAGGGTAGCCATGTAGCTTATGAACTGTGGATAGAGACACCCTGTGGACTGAATTGCTTGGGCAAGACAAATATTGTGGCTGAATTCCTCTTTTTATGGAGAGTATTTTTATAACCTACTAATGTGCGCTGAAGATCACTGAGCTCTGTGACTGAGCATTTTAGCAGCTGACTGTAAGGGTGGGGAAGGAATTTCCCTGTCTAAACTGTGTGATGTCACCAGCTTCAGGATTAATTTATTGGACCTATAAGGGATGGTATGTCGTGTTAGAGAGGTGGTATTTTGCCATAGCATGCAGGGTACCAAACTAGTCTAAATATAAATGTTGCATGCTTTTGTTGCTCAAATGCATAAAATAGAGACTGAACCGACACAGCAAGAGCTGTCTAGGAAGAGCCAAGTGTAGATGAACAGCTGGTTGCAAAAAGGATTGCCTACAGAAGACCACAGCATCTCCTCTGATGTTGAAAGCTTATTTGTATTTGAGTCAGATGTTCCCTTCTTGCAGGGAGAGCAAGAGCTGTGAAACAGTCTTTGCCTTGATGCCTTTAAAACCATAGAAACAATTGGGCTGCTCATGGGCTTTTGTCTGTTGCTCAGCACTGTCATATTGCCTTCTTCCTTGTGTTGCTTATTTGTCTTTAAACTTGGAGCATCAGACCTCTGTGTAGGGGCTGCCTGGACTGGTGTTTAGTTAAGTGCAGCCAGGAGCTAGTTCTCTCCTTTACAGTACTGGAGAGTTCATAGATTAATAGGGGCACATGGACCTAAAATTCTGGAGGTTAACTGGTGATCACCTTGTCTCAATTGCAGGGATGCAAAGGCCTGTGTAATTCACGGCACAGATCTGAAAGACATGACTAGTGAGCAACTGGATGACATCCTGACTCATCATACAGAAATTGTCTTTGCCAGGACATCTCCTCAGCAGAAGCTTATAATTGTGGAAGGCTGCCAGCGACAGGTAAAGAGGAAGAGAGACCAAAATTTTTGCATTAGACAAGTCCCTTGACTTGCATATAAACTACCAACCAGTGTTGCCTTCTGAAATGGCAGGTCTTGGCCTTCTTGGTGTCCTGAGATTAAAGGCCAGACTAGACTTTGGCCTTTGTGGGCAGCCATGGCTCTATCTTGCAGGGTTAGTTCTAGCTGCTTTCACAGCATCGTTGAAATTGGAAGGGACCTCGGACACCTAGAGCATGAGGCAAAGGGTGGCATCCAGGCGAGTTTCCAAGGAAGGAGACTCCACAATGTCCCCTTAACTCCAGTGTTTTATAACAGCTAGAATTGTACATGTCTGCGGTACAGAAAGGTGTGTTGCAGCAATGCTTTCTGCAGCACTTCCTGCAAAAAGCTAATGCACTTAATCTCTGAATGTTCTGAAGATACATAAAGAAGAAGAAGATGCAACACTGCCATAAATCATTCAAAATCTATTTTGGAGAGAGCAGCATCATTCCCTTATGAGCCTGATTGTCCCTGCAGCCATTTCCAGGCTTCAGAGAGAAATTGATGTCTCTTTACTGCAAAGTGAAGTAGATATTTGCTTGCTCTCCTGGAAGACAGAAGAAATCTGTTGTCCAAAACATCTTGTGCATGTTTTTCAGTCTTTCCTACGTTTCTTTTTGTGGCTAGGGTGCAATTGTAGCAGTCACAGGTGACGGTGTAAATGATTCTCCAGCCCTGAAGAAGGCAGACATTGGTGTTGCTATGGGTATTGCTGGCTCAGATGTCTCCAAGCAGGCAGCTGACATGATTCTGCTGGATGATAACTTTGCCTCCATTGTCACTGGGGTTGAAGAAGGTGAGCTTAACTTGACAGCAATGGTGTCCAGAAATGTGTGAACATTCTTCAGCAATTTTGCTTACTTATTCCCTCTGATGTAGGAGATGTCTGAGGTCTTTCTTGCATTTGTCACCATGACAAGCATTTTCAAGGGTGGGGGGGGGGAACATCTTTCCTCTGTCTTCAAAATCTTTTGCATTTCTATGGGACCTGCATTGTTCCTTTGAACTGGTATCAATGGAACAAGCTCCTAAATTCCTACCTACTTATCCACAGAGGAAAAGGGTGGAACGCAATTGAGTATCAAAGACTACTTTGTCCTTTGCCTATGACTGTGGCCTTACAGTTATTTGCTGAGTCTGGCAGATTTGTTCTCTGGAGTAATAACAGGAGCAAAAGAGCAGGTACCTCTAGGGGCTCTTATTTGATATCTAGCAAGCAGGGTCTGATGTCCTCCTACCGTGTGCATGGGCCCTGGCAGTGGTGCCCAGGAATATTGCTCTGTGCGGATATGGTGGTGTGCTTGGATGCACAGTCCTTGCATTCTCGCGTAGCACCCTTGCAAGCAAGAGAACTTAATTAGCTGCACCACTGCTTAGTCTTGGAGTATTGTCCCCTGAAGATGCCCATGAGCTACTTGGCTGCCTTCTACTGATAAGCAAGAACTGTATTACCCTCTCTTTCCTTGTCCCAGGTCGTCTAATCTTCGATAACCTGAAGAAGTCCATTGCTTACACCTTGACCAGTAACATTCCTGAAATCACGCCTTTCTTGATCTTCATTATTGCAAACATACCCCTTCCGTTGGGAACTGTCACTATCCTCTGCATTGACTTGGGCACTGACATGGTGAGTCTTCCCATCCTGCAAGAAATGTTCTGGATACCCCTTGAAAAGAAAGGTGGAAGGAAAATACTCAGATGTGTTGCTTGCCCTAGTGTTCTGACTTGAAATAAGTGATTGATTGATGGTCCAGATCTCTTGGCTCTCCAAGTCAAAGGATGCTTCAGTCCCATCTGAGGACAAGCTGGGGAAGGGAGTGAGGTCCTCTGAATCCTACAGCTGGGGCTTTTGAACAGTTCAGACTAAAAAAAAAGAGCCAGGGAAGTCGATATGTAGTGCAGAATAGAAACTGTTCTAACAGCTGTCCTACCACCCCAAAAGGTTCCTGCTATTTCCCTGGCGTATGAGCAAGCAGAGAGTGACATCATGAAGAGGCAGCCCAGAAACCCCAAAACAGACAAGTTGGTGAATGAAAGGCTGATCAGCATGGCCTATGGGCAGATCGGTAAGCTGATCCCTCTGCTGTGGTCCTGATATGAACTTGGTTGTGGTGAGGCTTGTGCACCATCCTTGGTCAGTGACTTGCTCTGCTTTTCAGTTGGGCTGAGGCTCAGGATGTGCAAACCGGAACCGTGGGCTATGAAACTTGCATTGGTTCTGCCCCCATGGCACATAACAGTAGCTTGTGCAGCTTGAGCCATTGAATCACTTGCACAGTAATTTTGTTTAATTGCTTAGCGCTGGAAAGTGCTGGCTGACAACCAGCTCTCCTCTGGTTCCGACTTGTTTAGCAAGAACATAGATCCCATTGTTAGCTTAATTAGAAGTAAAGGATTCTCTCTAGCATATCCCTAAGCACACAGTATTAGGACCCTTGATTAAAGGCAGCTACAAAGACCAGTTCACAGGATGGGAGCTCATGCTTAATTGCAGCAGACCTTAGGAACCTACTTGACTGTATTTTGCAAGGGGTGGGGGCGGGTGAGGCTTAATAGGAATATAAAGGGAGTTTTATCTGGTGTCCTTGAGTACCATGCCTTCATGGTGCAGGGCAGAACATAGGTAACTCTGTACAAAATTGGGAGAAGGAGCTGCTGAGCAAAAGGTCTGCAGTTGGGCTTGATCTTTATGTGAACTATGTCTACAACTGCTTCCTGGGGGACAGAGTGCCCCGAGGAGTTATTTCTGCTATGGTTGGAGTTTCCAACAAACTGGTTGTCTGTTATGACTACATCATGAAGTAGCTTTATCCATTTTATCCTCCCTTTCTCATCTCATCAGGTATGATCCAGGCCCTTGGAGGTTTCTTCACCTATTTTGTAATTATGGCAGAGAATGGGTTCTGGCCATCTGGCTTGCTAGGGATCAGAATTCAGTGGGATGACCGATGGATTAATGATGTGGAAGACAGCTATGGACAGCAGTGGGTATGTCTCAAGGCAGAGCTTGCCAGCCAGAGCGCTAACATCGGCTTAACATGAGCGCAAGAGAGGAAAGGAAATCTGTCAGAGCTAATGCTCTTCGATTTGTCTGCTTCCTAGACCTATGAGCAGAGGAAGATTGTGGAATTCACTTGCCACACAGCCTTCTTTGTCAGCATTGTGGTTGTGCAGTGGGCGGACTTGATCATTTGTAAGACCCGAAGGAACTCTGTCTTCCAGCAGGGGATGAAGTAAGTAAGGTTGACCTTGGAGGGTTGAGATACAGGCGCCCCATGTTTTCCACACCGCGTGGCATTGTAGTTCTTCACACCCAGCAATGCCTTCCTGGTGGATAAAGGACTAGGTGTCTCTTTCATAATATCTACTGCAGTCTGTCAGACTGGGACAAAATGAAGTGCTAATCTCCAGTGGGGTCGGTGGGACTGGCTCATTTCAAATGCCTGTGGCAGAGAGATTCAGCACAGCAGCTTTGTGCAGCCGGCAGAACAGCTGAGGTCTCCAGAGATCTGGTGGCGTTAATCCCAACCTTCTAAACTTGCAATGAAGGTAATGGCTAGTTGGCCTGGTGGTTAACTGTGTTATCTGTCTCTAGAGATGAAGGCTGCCTTTGACACTGTGCCCTCAATTTGGGCTGATAGCCTCAGCCAGGTATACTGCTGTGCTAGGTTAGAATATCTGCCTCCAGTCACTGCTGTGTGGTAACTAGGTGTTTTTTAGCAGAAATCGTCCATGAAAGTGCTCTGTTCCTGACTGCTTTCCTCTTTCTTCTACTAGGAACAAGATTTTAATATTTGGTCTCTTTGAGGAGACTGCTCTAGCTGCCTTCCTCTCCTACTGTCCTGGGATGGACGTTGCTCTAAGGATGTATCCCCTCAAGTAAGTTGTGTTGTATTTTCATGTAGCAGAACCGTACAGTAGTGCTTGGGTGGAAAGGCAGTTAAAGGCAGATGACCTAGTCTTAAACCAGAAGATCTCAAGCTAGAGGAAATGAGTGAGCTTGCTGTATTCTGGCATGTCAGGGATCTGCTTTTCTTTGCTGCTTGTAAAGCTTGCGGAGAGCTTGTAGTTCCGTGCCCCCACTAAACCTGAGCAGCATCACCTCAGCTGTGCTGCTGTGCTTGTGTGGGGTTTTTTGGTCCCTTTTATGGGACTGTAATTCTAATGAAAACAGTTAAATTGCTCTAAAATAAAGGCCAGTTTTCTGGAGAACCAGTGACAATGTCTTGTGGCTTTTTCTGCCCCCTCAGAGAACTGGCATGGGCCATAAGTGTTTTGGAAAGATGCCACATCTGTGTGAATGACCAGTGGCACATGAGAACTTTCCCAGCGGTTGGGAGGATTAAGCATCACCAGGAGTGGTGCAGCATTTCATGGCAAGACATTTAGACTTGAACAAATTTTTAACAGTTTAAGGTCCATAAAATTCTCATGGAAAAATGTGCTAGCACATCTGTCATTCCATTCAGAAATGTGTTAGTGTTTTCCAACAAGAAATCTGGCGTCCACCCAATGCCTACAGCGGCTATATGTTATGTTAGCATGCGTAAGTCACAAGAGGAAGCGAACGTGATTCAAACAAGCAGTACCATGGGTACAAAGATTACATGTGCGTGGAGGAAGTGTTACTAGATTAACAGCAGGGAGGTACTGGCGCTGAGTTGGTCAAAGGTGCTACAACATACCTTTTGTTGGGGTTATAATCTGAAAGTGGATGAACTGATTACAGCAAGAAAGTTGGTGGTAACTGTTGGCTCAGGAGATTCTTGGCAGAACCACAAGGTGATGAGAGTTGGCACCCTGGCATGTTGGGACTTGCTTTACTTCCCAGATCTGCACTCTTTGTCATGGACCAAGCTCTGTTAGGCAGAGTGTTTCTGTAAGACACTGCCTGTGTTCTCACTGGCTCCTCTCTCAAACAGGCCAACCTGGTGGTTCTGTGCCTTCCCGTACTCCCTCCTCATATTCCTGTATGATGAAATCAGAAAGCTGATCATCAGACGCAACCCTGGTGGTAAGAATGTGCTTAAAATCTACATTTTTTTCCTTCCTTGGTCGTCCTCATGGCCATGATCTGCAGAGACTCTGACCAAGCCCAAGGCCCCCCAGTGCTGCACACTGAGCAGCATAGGAAGTCTCCTTGCCTTGTAGCAAGTCCCTAAGCAGGATTTTAGAGGGCAGCTGTAGGGTTAAGGCCTGTTGCTTCAGGAATCCTGCTGGCTTTGCTGGAGTGAATATAATTAAAAGCAGGCAGGATTAAAGTTGGAAAAGGAGCAATTCTGCTAACTTTATTGGCTGTCATGCCTGCTGTTCATCAGACATGTGAAGCAGATGTGGAAAATGTTCAGCACGCTCAGTCTTGGGCTATATATTTTTTTTCTTTTTTGGCCTGCTTTTTCCTTGCCCAGTTGAGCTGGTTGGGAATTCAGCGAGCTGCAAGACAGTCCTCTTCCCACAGGTTTGCTAGCGTGGGCCCAGCATTGGCATTCGTTCAAATTCAAGACTTCCTCTGTCACCTTCCTGTCTTCTCCCCCAGCGTGTGAAAGCACCTATATGCTAAACTAGGTTTAAAAAAAAAAAAAAAAAAGGTGGATTATGGCTAGGTAGTTTAAGAAAGCCAGAACAGGGCCTGAAAGCTGTGGAGCGTCAAAAATTTGGCAAGATTTTCCATTATGTAACAGGGCCTTTAACTTGGCACTTAACATACATGCAAGTGCCACAGCCTAAAAGAAGCACTCGTGACCTTCACACCCAGGCAATCTTGTAAGCCTAATCTTGCTCTCTTTGCTTTTCCTTTAGGTTGGGTGGAAAAAGAGACTTACTACTAAAAAGCAATTGTAAAACATTCCACGCACAGCCCACCGCCACCTCTCCACCGTCTCCCCTGTGTGCCTACTTCATCTTTGCGAGTGCAGACTTGTGCCTGGGCAGGAATGAGCTGGAACTTGAAGGAAATATGAAGAAGCATGGACTGGAGGAGAAAGCGAGGGAGGGGGGGAGGGAGTGTCTGACCATCAGTCCATGGGGACAAGAGATATTGAGTAGTTTTTATGTGCCTTTTTGTTTTCGTAAAAGGAAAGAATCTGAAGATTTTATACGTGGATTTTTACAAATAAAGATGGATTGTAATAGGATGCCCCCACACAGTCTTAGGCAGATGTTTTCTCAAGGCAAAACTCTGTTCAGGGCAGTGGGGAAGCCAAGTAGAGGGCCAAACTGTCATCAAGGCATGAGAATGACCAGACAGGTTAGCACTTGGCTTCCCAACAGAGAAGCAGAGCTCCTTGACCAGGAGACAGCAGGGCATGCAGTTCTAAAAGGGCTTTGTGCATCCTGCTTTGCAGGACAAACAACCTGTGTTTCAGAGCCTGAAGACCAGGAAGCCTCAAGCTTCTCTAACCCTGTCTTGACTGCCTGCTGCAAAGGCTTCTGCTAATGCAAATGTAGCATTAGAGAGAGAGATCTTGTGGCTGCTCTAAGAGGCTGCAGCCCCCTTGATGGCTGCAGAATGAGAACACTGTGCCTTGGATCCAAAC